CAAAAAACTACTATTATAACTGTTTTTGTATTCATTGCATTGAATCTGTACGATCCGCAAGCAGTTATATTTTCAGATCTGAATTTTGAGTTAGCTCACTTTAGATCTACATACATACATACATAGGTGTGCGATAATAAAATGAATAAATATTTTGTTCTAGTGAGCTATTGGTAAACGATACATCTTCAAAATTTTTACACAACATAGAAGAAGAGGTAGCGGTAATTTCTGCGTACTTAACTCAATATTTGTATTTTTTTGGATTATGACACCATTGAAGTAAATGAGCGATATGTGCCTACAAATAATCGAACATACTAAATTCGTATATAAAAGACCAGTGCCAATAAAAGTAATAATAAAAGAATTTAAGCTAAAATTCTGACAAGTTTTTAGTTTTATGTATGTATCTGTTGTCATTGAAAAAGTAAAAACTAAAATTGGGTAAAAAATAACCAAAATTTTAGTGCAGGAAGTCATGTAAAAATGGTTTTTTAAGAATAAGTCAAGAATTGGAGGGTGTTGCACAAATTTTAAACGCAGTTTCGTGAATTACTCGACCAGTTTTACGAAATCGTAACAGTCGTGAACAGTTCATGAATTCGTGCGCTCGTTATATGAACATTCGAGTATAAAGTTCGGTTACGCCTCAACTTGACTTTTTTTACTTGGTTTTCTTTTTTACTATTTACGAATATTTTCAACTAACGTTCGCTGCTGGTCTACACCACGATTTAGCGGTGAACTCTCGGCTAATTTACTACATACATACATATGTCGCTAATTGAATAAAGAATTCATGCATGAATTTAAATGACAATAAATTTCATTATACATAAGTTCGCATGTAGTCTGACGTAAGATTTCATGAGTTTCTAAACTTACTCAACATTCTTACTTAACGAGAAGCGGCAGTTGACAAACACTTTTTTATCATTGCTTTTTTTTGCCAATGAGCAGCATAGCAAGAACATACCCTGCGGGAAATGTATCTAAGTATAAGTAAACTTGAGGTTGATTAGGAAGGAACTAACGGTCACTATTATCTGTATATTTTTTCTTTGAAGAAAGCTAACCATATTTCTATGGCGATGGCCGCGAAGTAGTCAAGGGTGGTTGCCCCTGTATAAGATGTTAACTAACTTGTAACTAATCAGTTTTGGACATGAATTATCAATTATAAAAACACAATATATTTTTTTTACTTTTTTACTTATTTACTTTATTTTATTACATTACATGTTTGTTTACATATTCTGCTGTAGGTGGTCCCATATTCGAACTCCGTCAGGCATAACTTCAAAATGGTAAAACCAAATTTTGATTTTCCTTTTATTTGTCCTCAATTAGAAAAAGTATTCGCAAAGTGCAGGAAGAAGGTGTATTCAAAGTAAAAGTTGTATGAGGATATCTAAATCTTTTTGTAGTTAACTTCATGTATTTTATAGAAATCCCGCAAAAAGCCTAACTACAATTGGGTTATTTTTTATCAATTAATAATTTTTTTTCTGCAGGGTATATTCGGCGAAATAATACATACATACATATAAATCATGTGTACATACACGTATCTACATAAGGGGAAGTTCACCTTTTTTTTAATTTGGAGGTTTTGCCAAAGAGGGTGGAGTAATTGAGACCTAATAAATTAATCAAATAAAATACAAAATCAGCATGTATTTCAGCTTTAAAGTGGTTAAGAAAGCCAAGTTCATAGCAGAAATACGAACTAATCACAAAATACTTATAACGGGTTTTATTACGTTTCTTTACAGTTTCGGCAAAATAACATTGCATTATAGTTACATATGTCATAAGATCACTGGAGCGACAAGAAATCAATTGTTCGATTTCGCAATGCTAATAGTGCTGAAAACATGATCACACACTAAACCACGCTAAACTGATCGCATAATATTTACGGTCCCCCAAAAGCCTTAAAGTTTCGGAGCAACGCTAAAATAATGGTTCTTTTATGCTTTTTTAAAAAGATTTTCTAGAACAATTACGCTGATTTGAAGCCCATTAAATTTTAGTATAATAAAGTAGAAGTTTATAGTTGCCAAAATATATTTAAATAAATGGAAAAAATTAGGTACGTTTTCTACGTTTTCAATTAAAAATAAGAATTGTGCGCTTCGGGCTCGATTTTCGGTTCAGTAGGCACAGTTTTCGTTTCTCCTAAAATGGTCTTTCAGTTTTTTGGACTTATTTTTTAGTTTTTTTTTTTTTAGAACATTTTTCAATTCTCCCGCAACCGTTCTTCGATTTTTTTGAAGTCAAGTTTCTGTGCGTCAGAAACCATTTTTCGGGCCTCAAAAAGTTGTGGATATTTAGGACTATTTACAAGTAGTTATTTCAGGAAGAAACTTGTTAACTTGAGACTCGCTATGCACTAGTTCTCCCTGGGTAGGCTGTGCATATTCATATTCACTGAAATTAAAAAAGATTCAACTATCAACATGGGAACTAACTAATTCTCCTCTTCGGTAACCGAAGTTATTTAACCACAGAGGCAACACTAAACAAATTTTCATTTATTGAATGCTTGAGGCACATACTCACATACATAAATACTACATATGTTTGTATATAGTATGTATGTGCATGGGTCAATCCATGTCAAATCGACCAATGGTTGGAATAGGTCATTTTTGATTTAGATGAATTTAGGTCAGAACTTTTCTTTTACCATATAATGAAGTTCTGCAAGATAGAATTTTTTTTGAGAGTTATATAAAATTCTAAATTTAATAATTTCCGCGGTTTTTCAAGTTTTTTTTTTAATATCTCAAAAACAATTCTAGTTACAAAAATGGTTCTGGTGTCGTTTTAAAGGTGGCAATGGCTATGAGCAAAAACATAAAGCGTATAAAAATGTTTGGCCAAATTTTTTTATGCAATACCTCCAACTGATCTTAAAAGATCATGAAATTTTCTAGACGGTGGTTTTTTTAAGGTGTCAATTTTAGAACATCGAAAATATTTTGGTTTTTCAAACTCTTAATATTGTTAAGTTAAACAATTTTTATTTAATTTCAACTAATTCTTAATCAATATATTCCACATAAATCTGTTTTCAAAGATCGAAAATTCATACAATAAAATTAAAAAAAAAAATTTATTGAAATTTTCAATTGAGGTGTTTTATACAATATTCTTTTAAATTCTAAAACTCTGTGTTTTTTTTGTATTTGTAGAATTTTTTCTAATATTTTTAATTTATGAACTTTTTCATACAGCCACAAATATAATATTTAAAAGGGACCAAGAACAGTAACTATAAAAGATTTTCATATCTTAAAAAAAATTAACTTGCAAACTCCGAGAAATTGTGAAATTTGGAACTTTCGGATTTTTTTTTTTTAATTTTTTTTACCTTTGGCAGAATTTGGTTATATGATAAAAGAAAATGTCTGACCAAAATTCATCCAAATCAAAAATGGTGGTTTCCAATCATTGGTCGATTTCACATGGATTGGCCCACATATAAAAGTATAAAGTATGTGAATTCATATGCATCAACATATCTGTGAACATTTGGAAGAACAAATTAATTCGGCTTTTCCCAATTTCTTTTAAAACCACTAAATTGTTAGGTTCCTATCAAATGTCTAAAATATTTACTGCCCATAGCTAAAGTTTATGATGGCATCTATATATATAATACGCAAAGGGATTTTTTGTGCAGCGTAAAAGATCTGTACCGTTCGCCCGATTTTCAAAAATAAGATGTCAAATTAAAGCGCTTGGCCTTGGTAGATGTGCAAACCGGTTTTATTTTTTCGAAAGGAGTTGCCACCTGTAAATAATTAAACTCAAGTTATTTACTAATCAATGCCCTCAGATCCGCACCGTCCGTTCGATTTTCAAAAGTGAGGTACCAAATTAAAGGGCTCAGGGTGATGATGTTCAACAAGGTTTTACTTTTTCGAAAAAAGTTGCCACCTGTTAAGAAAGCAACGTTATTTCGAATTTCCAAAATGAGAAGTCAAATTAAAGTACTGGGATTCTTCATAGATGTGCACAGGTTTTATTTTTTGAAGTTACATAAAAACCGACACCATGCGAGACCTCTCATCACTCAGAAATGGTTAGATTAATCATTAGGAATATTTTTAGACGTTTTTGAATAGGGTTTCACCTGTTTAAAAAATTTAATTAAATGTTGGCGTTTTGGCGCCATGCGGGTTCACTAGTTTTTATAAAAACGTAATAAAAATTTCAAATTTTTGCATGAAAGTTAATTATTTCTCAGTGCAAAATTAAAACTTCACATAAGTTGTTCTTTAAAGTTTCCACAGATATGTACTAGTTATGTACACTTGTGGCCACACAAACCTTACCATCACTTTTTTTAAGTAGGTAAAATTTCGTAGATTCACAAAAAAATTATTTAATATATTTCACTCTGTAACAAAACTATATAAAAAAAATGTCAAACTTGGTAAAAAATTTAGAAAAATGCGAAAATTTTTAAGAAAATTTCGGGTAAATATGTACATAACAGTGCAAGTTTAATGTTGCTCAAAGTTGTGGTTGATTTTTGACAACTTTTTTTTTGATACGATTTGCGCACTTTCCCCATACATATAAAAAGAAAGCGTTACATGAAAAAAAAATACACAAGACTGTCGGCAAAAAAAAACAAAGCATTTCAAAATTTTCAAAAATTAAATGGGCTATTAAACTGTATACCCGAAAATTTCCTAAAAATTAGTTTTAAAAGTTTGAAATTTTCATGAAAATTTGATGCATTTTTCTAAATTTTTTTACAAAGTTTAAAACTCTTATTCATCTAGTTTTTGTTAAAGTGTGAAATATATTAAAAAATTCAATGTTTTTTATTAATTTACAAAATTGTACATATTTTTTTTTTTTTATGGTGGTAAGGTTTTCGTGGCCCCAAGAATACATACAAATTATTTATGCGGGTTTCTAGCACAAGTATCTATTACATACTAAGTACCTATGTAGGTATGTACTTCCGAACTTACCTCGTTGGTCGCATCACCAGCGTGTAACCGAAATAGGAACTGCGTGTTTGTGGTTTGAAGAATTTCAAATGCTGTGGCGCTGGAATTGCAATATTCGGTTGATTTGCAAAGTTGAAACCATCGACTGGCCAAATCAATGCAAATATGCTGAGCAACAGCGCGTTGTAGGTAAATTGTTGTTGATTGCGGCTTAAAGTGCGATGACTGTTGTTTTTGTTGTTGTTTGGCGATGACATTTTGACACGGTTCGATTGATTTTGCATTTTTTAATTTATATTTTTTATTGGTTGTGCTTTTTTTTTGTATTTATTTTAGAAAACTAATTTATCACAATTGATTGCATGCAAAAATTTTTTCATTGAATTCTGCGTTTATTTGAAGTTTTTAATGCATAATTTCTTTGCTGAGGTATTTACATATGTATGTATTTATGCATGCAAATGTGTGTAAGTAAATATTTTATGTCGTGGTTTTGAAAGCTGTTTTGGTGCACACAAAATTCACATAAATGGAATTAATTGTTTGAAAATACCTTCAAAATTTTCATAATTTTGATTCTGTTGCTAAAATTTTCAACATTTTTATGCAAACGTTTTAAGATTAAACACTTATGTATATCAGGTGATTTTTTAGAAAAAATAATTTTAAAAACTAATTTTCTTTAAAATATACTCGATTTTTGGAAGTATTTTGAAGTAGAATCAGCTCACATAATTCTTAATACTTTTGCGAAATATTTTGGCGGAAATCTTAAGATTTAATAAATTTTATATTTAAGAAAAACTTTACCGAGAGTGCACCAGTGAAAAGTGCAAACCCCCCTAATGTACACATCTTCTATTATTTAGATTACATTGGAACGAATTAATCACTCTTTTCAGGATGTAGGGTCGACGAACTCCAGATTGTTGCTCTAAATGCGGCATTATCCCTCTCAGAGGACCTTTATCTAGTGGAATAGCTTCTGGCGGCAAAATACCTATGTAGATAAATATCTTACGATTCTGGTAGCAATTTTTAGAGTAAGCTGAAGAAATATTAAAATAATATTTTTTTTAAAGTGGGTGAACGTGGTCACGACAATTGTTGGGTCCTCAGTTCAGTAATTCTAATTCAAAGCTTGAGTTTACTTAAAGTTAATATCAATAGCATTGTCTATTTCGGGCTTGTGATTAATGATATGAAGAATAGGGTGGTCAAAAAATGCACGTGAGGAAATTGAAGATTGGTGCATATTTTAGTAGAAGCTATGTTCATCAAGAAGAGCTAAAAGAATTTCAATGTTGCAATTCAAATAGTTTTGAGACCCGGCAAAAGACGTAGGCGTTAAAGAAGACTTTGAGCAATATGAAGCTATACGCCCCTACATGAGACTGCGGGCTTTTGACGACAGGATTTATTCTGAAACCCTTGGAGCAGGTATCCAATTTTGTCGATATTGGTATTATAATGGACTCCAAACTCAATTTCAACCTTCATATTAATGCTACAGTCAATAAAGTCAAAGGCGTTTTTGCATTCTTAAAAAGAGTTCAAAGATCCTTATGTTAAAAAAGCTATTTTTACAAGGTTTTATTTAATTACCACTTTAGTTGGACCAATATTAGAATACGGATCTATTGTTTGGAATCACCGCTACAAAGGTTATTCAGAAAGGATTAAATCAATTCAAAAACAATTCTTGCTTTTTGCATTGCGTGATCTTAACTAGGATTCAGAGTACTACAATCTCCTTCCTTACATAGAGAAAAGCTATGTATAATATTTATCGTAAAATTAATGACAGGCCTGATTAATAGCCCGTCCCTTCTGGCTAAGGTGAACTTTAATATACCCTCTTGAGTATCAAGACACTTTCCACCTCTGTTTTTGAAGCAAAACTATTTTTGAATTAAACGAATCATTCCGTTGTTGATGTCGAGATTTTAACTCTCATTCGAGCACGTTTGACGTATCGCACTCAATTTTTACTATAAGAAACTATCGTACTATCTTTTACATATCCAATCGGCTGATGAATTCGATTTTGCATCTGAACAGTTTTAGATCTCGACACTTACCCGTATACCTTAATTTCATGAAATGCTCGCTATGTCTTCTTAAAATGTTGAATAAAATTTTTCAATCCCAGTGTCCATTGCTTTACAAATTAAAGCCATGTGTGACAAACTTTTGAAAATGGTTATGTCGAACTATTTCATAGTGCAAATTTTAATAACTAGTGATATGGATTACAAATCATGAAAATGAACTATTCAATATTTTAAAAAATTTTGGACCCTCATTATGCGGAGGCTCCATTTCTATATATTTTTCATTCTCCTGGTGGCAACACTGCGTTGAGATAGGGCGTTTTTCAATCGGCTGCTGAGATTGGGCATTTTTGAACCGAATTCTCTAATAGGGCATTTTTGAGCTAGCTGCCGAGATAGGTCGATCTTCCACTCCTCAGCTGTCGATATGTTCGAAATTTTTTTTTGTAATTGTATGGAAGAAAATGCGTGACCCCGTCAAGGAAAAAGATTACAAAAATCAACGCGAATTCTTAGTCACTTGAAACTTGAACTTTGGGAAGCTAGAACTTAATGGGCTATAAAATTGCATACTTACAATTTTTGGAAAAATTCTTTATAAAAAGCTTGTTATAAAAATTTCTAGAATTTTTCTACAAAGTTTGAAATTTGGAGTTACATAAAAGGCTTTTGTTAGATAGTGAGCTGGATTAAAAAAAAAATATAACAATAATAATAAACATTAAACAAATAAAAGAAACTGATCGAAATGTCGTGTTCCTATTATTTTTCACGTGACTATGCTTTTTTGTCTTATTTTCTTTTCCTTTTTTGTTTTGCATAACTGGTAAAAATAATTAATTTTCACATGAATTCTTAATGAACTTAAGTATCAGACACTTTTTATTTTATTTTCACTTTTTTGCTACGAGTATCATTAATCACAATTTGCGCATAAAACTTGTTTATCTGCTTAATTTTTGCAATTTCAGAGGAAACTGAATTCATCGACTTCAAAACCATGAATACGCACTGATACTTTCGTAAACACAAATGTATGCATTAATTTCCTTTCCATTTAACACAGCCTTATTTAATTTGCTTTTTTTTTCTTTTAATTCTCCAGCTTCCACATCAACTCAAGAAAAATAGATTGAAGCTAGAGATAAGCATAGCCAAAGGAACACTTGAAATATGTACTTCATTTCACTAATTTAATTAAATTGCGTTATAAAAGCGTTGCTGCAACGCTGCCTCCGTCAAAGCGCACCGAATAGACAACAACTGAATGCGACAAAAAATTAAAATGCCGCACAGCACAGATCGAGGTGGATCGAGCGGCCCATACAAGCGACTCCATACAAACATGCGTGCCTCTGTGGTAATTGGGCGCGGGTATGTGTGCGCGTGTTCTCGTAAGCATACGCGTAATTTGCGTTACGTATCAACCAGCCGGCTGGCAACATATGAACAGTATCACTTGCAAAAAGTATCTGCTGCTCACACTGATCGTCAACACTCGTCACGCACCTACTACGAGCATCATACACACTTGCACTGACCACTAATAAAAAAATAAATAAATAAAAAATATAGACCGGCAAAACTGGCGGCGGATGCGATGATTTTCTCCACTATTTTTCCATAAGCTCTTTCTTATGTTTTTCTGTATTATTTTTATTTTTATTTTTTTTTCTTTAAAGATATTTTTACGCATTTAATCTTCTGTGCTATTGTTCTGCACTTTTTGTTATTTTGCTATTGTTGTTGTGGTTTCTGTGATAGCACTCATAAGAATTGTATACGCTTATTAGTGCTGTTTTTGTCGCGGTAATTGCAGCTTATTATTATTATACATTTAGTTTATATGAGCTCCACACTTGGCTACTTACGCACTGCGATCTCGCTATTGTCGCAAACATTTGTACATACAGTACATCAAAAGTTGACGACAAGACGCCTTGACAATCGAAGTCTGTCTACAGACTTTACTAGCAGTTAGTCATAATTTGTTGATTATGCAGCCCTTATTACTTTATACTCGCTTGTTTTGTTATTGTTGCACTTTTATTCATTTAAATGAAATTGTGATTAACGTTGCGGTTGTTGCATGGCAATTGCAGTCGTATAGAACGCATATCTCTCATACATATGTACATACATATATACGCCCACACTCACTTCACTATAATCACTCCGGCGGCGGCTTCAATACACCCCCACTCCACTTCACTTTCCTTCGCGCAACTTCACCACGGTCGCGTCAACTTTCGTACAAGTTTTCCCCCAACACGGACTTCAAAACACGGCTTCACGTCTTTACGGCTTTACTGCTTGCATCCGTCTTCGCCAGCAATCGAACTGTAAATGACCAAGTCTCGTTGGCCCTAAGCTTAGCTCATTGCCATTGTTCTCCTCCAATAGCTTACTGTCTGAACTTTAGTCAATTCTGGAGTTTGTTTCATTCCACCTTGTTCGCTGCACGGTTGTTTTTATAGTTCGGCCCCAAAGCTAGTTGTGACCATCAGTGTTGCCAGAAGTTTTTCAGAGAAAAGGTTAGCACCCTTCTTATCTATCTCGTACGATAGGCCGCACGAATGATTCGTCACCGTTTCTCTTTGCAATTTCGTAACTCGATCGTTCGTCTTTGTCTTACTTTACTTACAGACGATTGTCGATTGTTTTGATTTATACTAAATTTTCAATTCTAAGCATACAAATTTGTAATAGGGGTCTTCCCACCGTGTTTGGTACTCAGTAACTCGGTGCTCGGTAATTTCTTCCCATGTATTTTCTTTGTGTAATGTTATTTTACACAAACAAAACACTTTAGCAATTTTTAAGGGTTTTACACACCAGTAAAAAAACTAAGAAGAAAATAATTTAATTATATGTAGTTGACATATTTAAGATAATGTTTGATATGCGCAAGAAATTAATACAATAAAAAGGCCAATCGTTTTGTGGGCATATCGCCGAGGAGTTACGAACCAATAGCGAAAATTTGATGGAGTATAAATTATTTAAAAGGAGAGCTGACGCTTTTTT